AAAAGAGGACTGGCTCAAATTTACACAGAAGGTCTAGCTGGGAGAGCCTTGGGCTTCCTGTGAATGGCATCACTTCCCAAGAAGCCTTCTCTTAAAAATAATGTTGCCCCCTCCAGTCCTGCTCAATAATGAGCCACCCAATCAATAACAGCGTCTTTATTCCAAAGCTATCTGCACCTTCTTGCCACATCTGCAAAATGGGAAGGGCTTGAAACCATTTACCACATTTTACAAATTGAGAAACTGAGGCCAGGAACCTGCAATTAAAGGAGCTCCTAGAACACAGAGTAACAAGGATGCGAGTCACAAGTAAGCATTGCCATGCTGATCAGCCTCAGCCTCCCTATAGAGACTGCCCTGCTATTCCACGGACAGCTTGCCACCCCAAAGATGGTGGGTTAGCTTTGCAACCCAGACAATTCATCTTTTGGCTACAGGCAAGTGACTGCCCTATTCCTAGGCCTCCGACAGGCCTGTAACATGGCGATAATAATCTTAACCTCCTGCCCCACACAGGGCTGTCATAAGTCTCCTGAGAATAACCTACAAATACAAAAGCAATAAAGATTCTAATGACAGGTTCCAAAACAAGTGCCCATTAGTAGATGAATAGATTAAAAAAGTGTGGCACAGTCCTAGCTGGTTTGGCTCAGTGGTTAGAGTGTCAACCCTTGGACTGAAGGGTCCCAGGTTCAATTCCAGCCAAGGGCAAGTACCTCAGTTGCAGGCTCGATCCCTGGCCCCAGTCGGGGCCCATGTGGGAGGCAACCAATTGATGTGTCTCTCTCACATCAATGTTTCTCTCTCTCTCTCCCTTCCACTCTCTCTGAGAAGCAATGGAAAAAATATCCTCGGGTGAGGATTAAAAACATAACAAAGCTGTGGTACATTTACAGAATGGAATATTATTCAGTTATAACAAAGAAGGATCTCTTACCCTTTGAGACAGCATGGATGGACCTAGAGAGTATTATGCTAAGCTAAATAAGCCAGTCAGAGAGAGACAAGTATCACATAATCTCACTTATATGTGGAATCTAATGAACAAAATAAACTGACGAATGAAACAGATCCAGAGACATTAAAAGATGCAACAGACTGACTAATTTCAGAGGAAAGGGGATGGAGAGGGCAGGAAGAGATTAACCAAAGAACTAACATGAATATATGCATAGCCCATGGACAAACAATAGTGCGGGGAAGGCCTGGGGAGGGGTACAGTGGAGGGGGTCAACAGGGGGAAAAAGGGGGAACATCTGTAATACTCTCAACAATAAAAAATTAAAATTTAAAAAAATAAACCTGTCCCTGAATAAAACATACCAGGTTTTCCACAGCCTGAAATTTAAAAAATATTTGTTTCCCTTTCTCCTCTTTCTTCTCCTCCATGATTTTATAGTTTTAGAACATTTCTTCACACAGGCTAAGTACAGAAAGACAGTGTCACTCTTGATCCTCAACCAGATTATTTTCATGCATCTGGCACTTTCCTTTTTAATCCCGTTTGTTTTGTTTTTCTTAGCACAGCTAATGAAAGGTAAAGAAATCAGCTTTCTGAGTTCCCCTGGACCATGACCACAGAAGATAGAATATGAGTGATAAGATCTAGAGGTTTGCAAAAATAAATCCCCTCTCACCGTGGATAGAAATCACCAACACAAAGTTTGAGTCAGCCTGGGGCCTGTTTCAGAGTCCACTCAGTAGGAGCTTGGTGCTGCCCCAACCCTCAGAATTCAAAGACAGACTTCACCCTAAGAGCATAAACTCCCAAATGAAAGAATAATTAAGGGAAACCTGCAAAAGTATTTCCCCAAAGTACTGCAGTAGAGACAAGGAACCTTATTTCTCTGAGAAAAAATGTCACCAGGCCTCTGGGGATTAACTGTGACATGGCATGGGGGCTGGGCTATGGTCTCCAGATGTGATTCAGAAATGGCACCTGGCTGGGGCTGGACTTCCTGCTTGTGAAAGGCCCAGAGCAGGGCTGGGAGGGACAGGCAGCTAGTCTGAGTGCCAGTCAGCTCTGGCATTATGTCCCTGCCCTCCACTGTAAGGCTGATGCATTGTGTAAAGGTGAAAGAAAGCCAAATCTGAGATATGTACAAAAACAGCAGATCTTTGGAAAATCATTTTTAAGGGTCCCACTTCCCACAGGGATGAGGTACTGTACACTGCCGAGTGTCCTGAGCACAGCAATGACTGTTATCACTAAGGCTGCCCAGGAAAAATTCAACAAACTCACATGCATCATGGTGACCAGGTGACAGGGGTTGAGCAGGTAGATGACGGTCTTGGTGGCGAACTTAAAGCCCACCTCAACCCCGAAGGTCAGGCACAGGGCTACTAAGAGCAGATTCTTGCTCAGGCTCTCCTTGCCTTCCTCTGGCCGCTGGGTCACCTGCTCTGGCTGGCAGCCACGGCCACCCCTACCGTCCTCCTTCGTCTGCCTCAGGATGTGCCGCAGGGCCACCAGGATCTCCAACAGGGCCAGGGTCAGGACCACCACACTTTCCAGCAGCCGCTGCTGCCAAGAGAGGAAGGCAGCACAGTCGGGGCCCCCATTGCCTGCAAAGCTGGGGTCCACGCCCCCATAGAGCCAGTCCAGAAGAGTTTGGTAGCTATACCGGGACATGATGCAAAGTGGTTCCCCTCGACCACCGTGCAGGAAGCTAGAGTGAGATGGAACACACACCCAGAGAGTTGCCCGGGTGGTGGGACATGTATGGAGGGCACACCCCCACACCCGAACTCCCCTCCAGACACGGGGACACCGAGAGCAGGGGAGGGGAAGCTACACGCGAGGCCCGGGGTAAAGTGCTGGCTCTAACTTGTCCCCACGGCTGTCTGGGGAGCCCCCCGCGCTTCTCCAGTGGCCACCAACGAGGCACGGTTGAAACGTTGGCCAATCTAAAAGGAAGG